TTATCCATGGCTTGGCCAAAATTTCATGCTTTCATGATTCCTTAGTGCTTAATTTATTTTGCTTAGGTTTGCTGCATGCATTTTAGTTTATGAAAGGTTTGTAAATATGCCATGTCTTGGTTTCCATATTTATCCTCATTTCTTCAATTAAAGGTTGCATTTTTATCATTGACATCTTGGTTATTTTGTTACATGCATTGTCCATATAAACCCCAAACCACCATGAAACCTTAAGCTCCAAACCACCATGCAAACCTTAAATCCCAAACCACTGTGAAAACCCTAAATCCAAAATGATGTGAACCTAAATCCTAAACCAAACCGCAAACCACCATGCAAACCTTAAATCCCTAACTTAAATCCTAAATCCTAAACCCTAAACTTTAAACTATACAAAACTTAAACCACCATATAGGCTAAAACCTAAACCTTAAACCAATCCAAAATCCTACACCCTAAGCTAACCCTAAACCCTAAACTGAAAACTAAACCCTACATTAAACCCTAAATCAAACCCTAAAACCAAACCCTCCCTAAACCAAAACCTCAAACCCAAACCAACCTTAAACCCTAAATAAACCCTAATCTAACCCCCAAACCATAAAAGCTAACCCTTGATCCATTCTCATACATTTGCATCTCATTTTAATATATTGTTACATACCTTTTGAATTGTCATGCATTTATATTTTGTCATACATGCTTACTTATCATGCATATATTCTATTGATCATACATACTTTTTGCATGTTTTACAGTAAGGTCTTTTAAGAAAATATTTTGAAACAATAAAATAAGGTAATACTTTAAGTAAAAATAACCTTTGAGATTTAGTCTAAATATAAGGGAATCTCAACAGTTGCCATTTGAATTGGTGTAAGTGGTGTTGTTTGCTCTCTTTTTAAATGTTTAAGAATTCTTTCGATTTTATTGTTAAGTGAAGCCAAGTCAACACTTCTAGATCTCCACCTACAAATAAAGAAAAGATCAAAATAGTTTAAAACAAATAAAAGTAAATGTTTTTATTATAAGGGAGCAAAAAATCCTTATTGATATTGAATCAAACATCATTACAATCTTCGATAATGGTGCCAAAAACTCAGTTGCTGCTTTTTATAATGCATGCAATGCATAGGTCGTAACCAAGTAACAGAGTGATGAAATAGAGTATCATTCCTATGAAGAGTATAGAATTGAATTGTTAGGAAGATTCAAGTACCAAAGGTGATAAGCTATTATCTTATATCTAAACTAATTAAAGATTAAGTTGATTGCAATTGAAAGTAAAGACAAAACATATAAAAAACAATGTAGGCCAAGATCTTAATATCTAATTGTCACTAGGAATCTTGGATTAAGGCTAAATACTAGATCTAAAGAAACAATGATTGAAAGCTTTGAAATAAGAAAATTTTGTGAAAGCCAAAAGTTTTAAAACATAAAAAAAAGATTGCAAACAAAAGTGCATTAAAACCGAAAGCTTGCTACAACCAAGCTTGAGGTTGTTGGAGTGTTCATAGCATCATCACAAAGCAAAGTAAGTGAAATTTATCTTTGTCAATTATGCATTTAATGTTTGTGCTAGTTCTTGTCAACATGATCCATGGCTTAAAGGTTTGAAAATTTTTAAATCCCATCACATTATACTTTGAACTTATATAATCAATTCCCAACAAATTGTGGGCTAGGATAAATAGCTGTAAGTTCTTATATGGAGCCTTTACCATATTTAATAAACACATAAATAAATTTCTCACTTTTCTCAAACATCTGAAATTGTCTAATGCTTCACTTCCATAAAATCCAAATTCCACCTAAAAACCTACTATCATCAACTCTAGTAGAAAAATCAAAAGAAAGTCTATTAATAAGTCTATCAACTACCCACCACTATTAATCTTAGGTTCAACAATAGTTAGCATGTCTACATGATTTGATACAAAAAGCTCTCTTGTATAGGAAAAATATTTTGCATTCTCAACCCCTCTATAATTAAAAAATAAAAAAACTGACATCGTAACTACATTAAAGTATATAACGCACCATAACGTGCTAGCTATCAAGTATGTCCACATGAGGAACATAATTTTCATCCACTAATCCATCAATAATAGTTGGATCAAGTTCAACATTAAAGATATTTACAACTTTTCATAAGTCAACTACCCAAAAAGCAAGCATCCTTTGATGGAGAGTTATGTTTAGGTAATTTATTTGGACTTATGCTAGTTTTAAAGTGGCCCATTCCATTAGCAACCTTATCCTCTTTAGGAAAGTTATCAAATATGGGCTCATTAACCTTCAGGCCTAGTAAAACAGGCCTTGGAAACTAATTAGGAGATGATGACCTAACTTTCACGTCAAGCCTATGGTTGTTAGAAAAGCCCCTACTTGGGAAAAAAAAAACTTAATTTTCAATCATTATTCTTCCCAAATTTTAACTTATTTAACCCCTTCGAAACTACCTTTTACCTTACTTGAGTGATATCTTTAGTTTGACAAGTTCAACCCACTTTTGTTTCCCTTTAAATTTGTTTATATCCTTGGTTGACTTTACAACCACCTTAACAAAATTCCTTTATTTCTTAGCCACATTCTCCCCTTGATTCTTGATGTTATTCATGATACCATTATCAAAGTTATCATCCCTTTTTCAAATTTGCAAATATATTAGCATCAATATTCTTCAAATCACACCTTGATGGTGACTTTCCTTTTGCAATGTCACCTTGTTGTGGACTCTGTCCCCTTCTTTGCATAATTATTTGAGGATCGTAACTTTGCTCCAACCACCCTATATGATTAGCAGCTCTATCATTTTCAACATTTTCTTACCGTACATCTTGACTTGATGAAGTTTTACTTACCATGGATGGACAAGTTGAATCCCATCTGTGACAATATTTTTAACAATTAAAACAAATAAAATGAATGCCTTTATATTCAATAGTTTGAATATGCTTTCTCACCATGATCTTGGAAATTAAAGTGAACAGATAGATTTAACTCCAAACAAAACTGACCAAACTTACCTTGGATAGCCTTTTAGTGTTCCCATCAATCTTGATCACATATCCCACAACAACACCCAAGCAAGAAAGTGTCATCTAATTATAATATTCCATCGGAAGAGTGGGGAACATAATTGTTAATTTCGTTTCGATACTAATCATACCGGCCAATATGTCTAGTTATACTAAAACACAATACATTTAAGGATTATTTTTTATACCTAATTTGGTATTGACTAATACTAGTTGTTTTCGTTGGTTTCAACTAGTTTCGATTGATTAACTTATTTTGGTCAATATGTAAATGTGAAATATGTTTTACAATTTTTAATTTGTCTTTTGTTGTTTGACTATTTTTTACCTAATAAAAATAAAATTAATTGATAAAATAACCATTAAAAGTTGAATATTTTTATTTTTTATTGTAATTTGTTTTCTTTTATATTTTATTTTTTCAAACCAAAGTTTATAAATATTTTCAATCTCTTTCGAGAAAGGAATTGTGTTTCCTTTGTAAAGTTTATCAATCATGAAACCAAGGTTAATTTTTTCATCTCTTTGTTTTTATCTCAATATTTGCATGAAAAAAATTATTTAAATATCATATGATCAAATTGATTGTTTAAAAATAACATGAAAATTTTATGATATTATTTCTTATACTCTTAAACTTATTTATTTGATTTTTGAAGATATTGCATATTTATTTTGTAAATTATTAATAAGATTATGATAAACAAGTTCATGTATTTTTACAAATATATTTGTACTAAATCGAAAAATATGAAATAATATGTCAAAACAACAGATATCGGCACATACCATATTAAAAAAAAAAATTGAAATGTTATCTAGTATGATATTAAGGGCTTAGTGGGGAACCAAAATCCAAACTTTTAGTTTATCAATTCTGTCAGGATTTGGATTAAAATTTAAGGACACCATTGTCTCAATTGTAATGCCCACCAATGATCGGACATCCCTCAAGAACATGCTTTTAGTCATCCTTTTGATTTGAACTTGTATAGAAAATAGTCTTAACCCAAATCAATAATCTTATAACGTCCTTCAAGCTGCCATACTTGTTTCACCCTAGACATCAACATGTCAAAACCCATCACCTTTCCTAACAGCTCGACAATCAGTGCATTATGCCATGCTTTTATCATTATGGCTTTTTCCTCAGAAAACATAACCTATGTTCAAAGCCATCACCAGAATCCTCATCATCAGAGATGCAGAAATCAAACTGCATCTCATTCACATCACCTATATCAACCCAATAATCCCTCATTGTCTTTTGTTTTACGTTTCTTTTTGATAAAATGCCTTTATAAGAAGGCACCTTACTCTTATCCAAAGATACTTGGTCGCTTACAGACTAGTAACTCCAAAGAAACCCCAAAAACTAGAGAAGCAACCTTACCATCCAAATCAGTTTCTTGATTTGGATAATTCCTTCTTGCATAATTCGGCGAATAATAATGATTCATGAACAAGGTATGAACATCTTCCAAACTAGAGAGTTTGAAATCAGCCAAACTTGAAGAACAAAGCTTTTTGATGATTATCAACAAATACTAAATTTTGAAATTTTAATTTGTTGTCTATGTTTTAAGATCCGCTCCAAGATATGCAATTACCAGATCAACTAGTCTTATGATTCACCAGCAATTTCAAATTAGCCTTCTCGCCGAAGCCTCCATAAAAGACAAAGAGGAGGACTTAAAACCAAGCAATCAACATGTCTGCCTCTCTCGCTGCACAGCATTTAGCAATTATTTGGCCCACAAGACCACATCTCCTTCCTTTATGCCCATGATCATCACCTCTACTTCCAATTTGGGATCGCACCGCTCAGGATGCAATCTAATGAAAACATAACAGGAACAAAGGCAGTTGCAAATATTTTTCTCAGTACCACATTTTATGTTAAAAAGCTACTTTGTAACTAGTCTATCAAAAGTCTCAGCAATTGGCAATTAAAAATTTGATTCTATGGAAACATTAGTTTTTCCGCATACCAAACTGCATAATCTGATAAAACTGATTATTTACACCAACAGGAAAGGCAGAAATTTAAGTACAACCCAAGTTCTCAAACTGGAACTAGACACATTTGAAAGGTCAACCTCCATGCTCTCTATAGCATCTATCCTTCATGATAAAGATACAAGCCAAGACCAAATCGAGCACATGCCCTGCAGAAAGCTATTTCTTCTGCTGCAGCAACAGGATCTTTGATGTTAATGTCGCTAAATGATACTGTGCCAGTAGACTCACGATGAGCCTGTATAGGAGTAAACATATAGCTTTAATGAAGCAGACATGTAGAATACAATCAGAAACAGAAAAAGATTATATTTCTTGGTTAGCATTCCATTGCTCATGTAGAGACCTCCATGAAGCTAAGAATTCTCAAGCTTTCTGTTCATATATAAATTGGCACAAACCCAGCAACAGCTTCAGAGAAAGAGAAGGTAAAAGGACTACATGAAAGAACCAAGTCTGGAGCACGTATATAGTTTTAAGGCTTACAGATTTCCTGAGATCAACTCCCAACTCAGATTAACCAAGAATTAAAATATGCTTCACGTAAACATGCATGAAATTCAGGTTGTTGGGGATGGCTGACTTCGTGTAGGTGATGCTTTTATTAAAAGCTGATAAGGGAAACTCTACATTGTGCCCATACCAACAAAATTGAGCATGTCAAATTGGTGCCTTTACCCACATTATTTCACAAACATCCAGGAATATTCATACATAAAATTTGAAATCATACCAGCCATAACAAATTGAATGAAAGTCCAGAAGTTATCTGACATTGTTTGTTCAATTTTTCCTAAGTTTTTCATATAGTAGAGGGTCATACTTCATACCCATGTCCATTGGATATGGTATGGGCTAATGACAATGTAGATAATGACAACAATGAACAGAAATTGAGTTTATTAAGTTCTGGACAGCAACAAAGTGAAAATGGATTAGGACTGGGCTAGCAAAACCTCAAATTTTGGTAGCTGTAGCTAAAAGATATCAACTAATGAAAATTTTGGAGCATGATTATGATGGATTTATGACAGATCAACTGGCTTTTCATGCAGGTTTGAATTTTCTTCAGTTTTAAGGGTTTAGGGTAAAATTAGTAAAGCATTTTCCTAAACTTTGGATGGCAGAATTACAACAAATGTATGGTAAAAGATTCTATGGCTTCAAAACACTTCTCCACGGTTATGAACACGATGCCTAAACAATCCCCACTCACCAAATGCTATATTGGCCTTCATGAGGCGGACTGAAAAAAATATGGCAGTTTCATAAAAATAGCAGCTCTGGAAGGATCTATGGTTTTATTAGAATTTATCTTTCAATTAGGGATAATTTGGGATTTTGAAACTATGTTGAGGTTTTATGGCTTGTGACAATAAATATTTGATGGAAGTTATTTCCAACATGCTCAACAAAAGCTTTCGTTGTTAGTTTACCAATCATGATCTAAATCATTTCTTACCACAAACATTAAAAGTGAAAAGAAAAGGGAAAATCAGATCTGCCAGCAAGTAAAAGAAACCAGACAATAATATTCATCGAATCGTATCCAAAATCCATCACCACTGTTAAATTTTCCAAATGCCAACAAGTCATCCAGGTGAGTTTTGTCATCTCTTGGTGCACCGTTTCCTTGAAAAAGTTGGAAAGAAATCGGCACTTTTGCCATAGAAAAGGGGCACTGTTACCACAAATCAAGTTGGCCATTCTTCATCTTCCGGCCAATGAAATGCCAGCACCAGAATCTACTGCACACATTCTCAAGCACCAGTTAATCACAATGAACTTGGCACAAGCACCTCACATGCCCACATTCCAGTTGCTTCAATTACTAGTTGATGTCATCTAACTCTTTATGACAACTCACTAACACATGCCCAAAAAACCTCCTATTAGTTTCCATGTCCAGATTCCACTTTTCAGATCCATTTTTTAAGATTACCTCTCTAATTCCTAAAAATTAGTAAGGAAAGGTTTCTAATTACTCTCTTTTTAGGTAACATCCTCCAATTGAAACTTGACTAATATGTCATTTGTATGCAGATTGCAGCCAACTTCACTAATTTGATCCATGCACAAGCTACTTCTGTCTCTTTTCGTTGTTAGTGCCACGTTAGCAATTCTCTAGATCTTCTCACATAAATTCAAATCCTAATTCCATTTTTGAGATCCATTTATCAAACTCAGTCTCTAAAGGTTAGATTCCTGTCAGTAGTTACAAATTTAATCTTTTGATGATGCAGGAGCATCCTAACACTTTACTAAATTGATTATTTTTATATATTCTTTTATGTTTTCTATACTACTTTAGTCTAAGGTTGGTAATGATGTTTGTACTTTTATTAAGTCTCATCTGACTAGCATGTGATCTTTTAGTCAGAATAGCTAGGAATAAAAAGGGTTTTTGTTATATCCAAGGGCTAAGCTTAGAAGCGCGTACCATACCCTAGTATTATTAGTCCATTAGATCCTAGCCCTCCAAAATCAATACCCACTGGAGTTATTATTTCTTGTTTGTATGAAAAATCTTTTTAGCTCGATTTTGCACAGATAATCATTCCTCTTCTCCATTGTCTTCATGTTCAGACTAGGTTTATTAATTGTACAACCAAAAATTTCTTCCTCATTGAAGCAATCTCAAACCTGAAAAAAAAAAAAATGTTGACAAGTGCGAGCAGTCATTCTATGCAAGTATAGCACGATTGAAGCGCCAGCTTAGCCCCACATTCGCCCCCAACCAACCACAAAACCAGCATGTCGTTTCCCATGACAGGACTATCATCTGCTCCCTACAAAGAAATGTGGCACTAATAGATTTCTACACTATAAATTATTTTGACTTATTATTTCATTAATGATAGTTGCTTTGAGCTCTTAATACCTAAGAATATTGGGATACAAAATTTCTCCACAGCATATTTGTTATCCTTATATTTCTGAGTTTTAGTCAAAGAATAAAAATTCCTAGTCATCATACTTTGGAAACCTACTTGCCCTATATTGCAGCACAAGTTACCACTCAAATTTGTGAAAACGTTTTTGATGCAAAATGCCAATAAGCTTATCGAGGGATTAGCTTATTTAAGATTTAATTTTGCTTCTCTTGTTGTATTTAAAGGGCTTAATTGTAATATTTAATCTAACTAGGGTTTAGTTTAGTATTTTTACATTTACTTTTGAGTTTAGTATCTTATTTTGTTTTCCTTATCCTATTAAGTTTTGCCTATAAGTCACATTTATTAGTTTTCAATTAAGAGACTTTTAAGTATTTTCTCTAAGTCCTACTTAGGATAAGAGTTTTAGTTCTTTCAAAATTAGGGTTGCTATTGCCTATATAAATATCAAAGTAATTTTACTTTTGAAGACAAACTATGATAAGATATTTTTCAGCATTATTGCTATTGTGATTGTGCGATGTAACCAGCTTAATGCATGACGCCATTAAGAAATTCTAGGCATGATGCTTATGTTTTCTTTCTTCTTGGTTGTATGATGCAATTAAAGAACCTAGGTGTGAAGCTCAGGGATCTTTTGTTTTTGTTTCCCTTTTTCTTTATTCAATTTTACCTATTCTTTTAAGAAATTCAGATTATTGTTATCATAAAACCTAGCCCCATGTGCTGTCAAGCATTAGTTTGGCTGCGCTCCAATATGCTAATGGCTCCATGAGAATCCCCAACAAACCCCACAGTCCCTATCTGACCATTGGATCCTTCAAATGTGTACTAGTTCCAGAAAGAAAAGAAAAACTATCCCTACCTCTAAGTTCCATAGTGCCCTAGATTTTTGCAACATGCCTCCAAAGTAATCAACAACATCATCTAATAGGAAGTTTGAAAACATGGAACTAAGATTGAATGGAAAATAATAATGATTTTAGGCATCTCAATGGTCAAGGTAGTTCCTTCCTAATAAAGTTATTTTTTTTGTTTTCATTTCTCAATTAACTTAAAAGTGAGGCCAAATTTAACCAAAAGGAAAAATAATTGATTGGAAAGTGTTAGGAGTTTTTAACATGTAAAAATTTGATGGAAAACAGTAATATGGAGAAGAAAAAGTGAGGAGAAAGAAGCAGACCTCTCCATCAGATCCCCGAATAGTGAGTCGATATACAACAGTGATGGTTCCATTGTCAGCGAATATAACATCACGTACTTCTCCGCACCATCCTGTGAGAAATATTGAATCCACCAATTCTTAATCGTTTGCAATTCAAAGAGGATATACAAAAGGAAATTGAAGTGAAAAAAAAAAGAAAAACAAGAGGAGAGGGGCAAACCAGGAGCGTAGAAGCTCAACATGCGATTGGCATGGTACCTGGGGCCATCAGATCAGATCAGATCAGATCAAGTGGATGAGATTGAGAAATTATTAAAAACAAAAAAAAAAAGAAAGCTACGAGTAGTACCAGGGGAGGAAGGTGGAAGACGAAGAGTTAGAAGAAGGGTTAATGATGTTATCAGGGATACGCTTATTGAGGTCGCGGAGGATTTCGACCAGAGGGCGAGTGATGCAGGAGGAGTTGGAGGGTGAAAAGGACTTGTCCAAAGGCACTACGTAGTTTGAATTAGGGACTCCCTTTTTAGCATCGCTACTGCTGCAATGGACAAGGCCAATGAATCGGGCTCTCCCCCTGGCGCTGGCCGCACCCCAAAGTGCCAACCGCCCATTCCTATTGCTATTATAATTGTTGGTATCGGACGAGAGCTGCGAGAAGAAGACGCCGCTGCTTCGCAATTGCAATGCCATTTTTCCCAAATTCGTTTATTGAAATGCTAACTGTCCTATTTATTTATTGGCTTGCGTACTACACCAACCTCCTAAACCCCTTCAAACTTCTATTTTTTTAGGATTTACAAAAAAAGTAACATGATAGAAATTATATTTTGATCCAATAAGAAAAAAAAATAACTATTCGAAAAGAAATAAGCATTTCTAGAATTAATAAAAAGGACCATGCTTTTTGTCTTTTATCCTTTGCAACAAAAGACACAGATTGAGTTTTTTTTTTTTTTTTCTTCCTTTTGGCATTGACATTATGTACCTAGCCATCCTTCTCCTGCCTTCAGTTCTTCTCCTTAGATCTCTATCATCATTAATTCCTGCTTCACCTATTTTCTTCCTTTTTTTTCACCTTCTGTTTTTCTACAAAATCAAAATAAAAAAAATACAAAAACCTATTGTAAGTTTTTTTGTTATCATTATTCTACATCTTCAATTTGTCCATCACAATCAGAGCATTCTTATAGAGGCCTATACTGGAAAATCTTTCAATTTCCTTTTATTTCGAACCACCCTTTATTAAGGTAACTACCGCCTTACTTTCTTTAATTCATTACTCTTCAATTTTGATTGTATTATTACTTTTAGGGTCTCATTTTAATTGGTTATTATTTAGGGATAACTGGTTGCTATTATTATAAATATTAAATTTTAGAAACTAGTTAGGTTTAGGAAAATTTTAGACTAAGCTAGACAATTGGCTATTGTGATTGGTGTAGAGCATTGAGCATGTACATATTGTGATTAGCATACAAACCCATCACTATTTAATGTTAAGTTTGGGTTCATGGGATATTAAGTACATTTCCATCACTTTAGGAAATCAGAAGGAGATAAAAGAGATGTCATATGGACACTTTCAAAGAAATTGGCTGAGCTATTTTTCTATAGCTTGTGGATAACATTGTGCCTAGATTTTGGATTGCTTTTACTTTGTTAAGTGATTGTTGCTTTTTGTTAGCTTATAGTGCATAGATTGCATCCAAGTAATAAAGTGTGAGTAAAGTTATTGTTCCCTCGATGATCATATGACGGGTGTAAGACCAAGTATCAAAATGAGTATTTCAAACTTTATATTTAGACAATCGAAAAGGTTGGTTGGAATGAAAACAAAACAAGAATGCTTGGAAATGTAAAGGCCGAATGCAAAGCTAAGACAAGATTTGAACTTGCTAGTAATAGTGTTGGTTGAATAGGCAAAGAAAAGTAAAGGCAATTTTGAAATGTAAATGGGCTTGGAAAGTAAATAAATCAAATGCTTATAAAAGAACAAAGCTAGCCAATTATAAAGAAAATATCAAGTGTGAAAAATGTAAAGAGCAACAAAGTGAATAGAGATCAAAACTGAAACTTTAAAAAAGCTTTGAAAGTAAACAAGAGTGATTGAAAAGTAAAGTAGAAAGCTTGAAGAAAAATGTAAACTAAGCTTGTATTGTAAGAAAGCTTTGAGAAAACTAGAGAATGTAGGTTAGTTTGTCATCATAGCCCAATGGGAAGAAAAGAAATTACAAAAAATTTAATGAAAATCAAAACAAAAAGAGAGAAAAGAAAATAGAATAAAGGATGATGGATGTTTTACAAGTGAACTCTATTGATAGTACATAGCTTGGGTTAAAGGGGATGAACCTAGACATGTTCATTTTAGCTTAAACTTTTTTGAATTCAAAAATGCAATCTTGAATTTGATTTAGGTAGCCGAACGGATGAAGCTTCTTGGATGAGGTGGACCTTGTGTGGCCAAATATCAGTTTTAGATTGGTCCACTTGTGTCGCCCTTGACTATGTGTCCTTGCCATGTCAACCACAATTTGAATTTTGAATGAAGATTGTTGGATATTCAACTGGGTTTGAATTTAAATGCATAATCTTCTTGATTCTTCCAATTGGCTTAAACCTCTTTTGAATTTAAAAAGTCTTTCTTGCATAAATTTTCCTTTTTGGTCAAACACGATATTTGTAACATTGGACTTCTTTGTTCGAATACAACATAGGCTGCCAAAGTTTGCCACTTTTTGCATGCATTGTGACTTCTTGCATGCATGACCAAATGGGCTTTTTGTAGAACTCCTTATGCCTTGGTTGAATGCACACCCACCAACTTTGCATAAAGTGTATGGTTTCCATGGCTACCCTTCTTGTCACCTTTGCATGGTTTGCATTTTATCCATATTATCTAATTTTTTGATACAAACATGAAAATCAAGATTTTAACATATTAAGGTATAAAAGTCATGAAAAATTTCAAAGTTTAAAGGCTAAAGTGACCTAAGAAAAGCTATATTTTCATAGTCATCAATGAGTTGGTCATGTTCTTTTAGTGCAATAAATTAGTTTCACATGGCACTAATTGTTTCAATCTTGCATTCACGTGGCATAGTATGAATCGAATATATGTTTAGCAAATTTATTTGTCTGTACAACAATGCCATTCACATTTGTTTTAAATGAATAATTAAAGCATACATTTATATGTTTATTTAGATTTTTTTTTGTTTTAGATTATGTTATAAAGTTGTTAGAGTAAAGTTGTAAGACTGAGGTGAGATGGTAAGAATGATGAATAATAATGCTTGGGTCTTTTTGTGTTGGAAATTTTAAAAAGCAACTGTAAAGTAAGAATATAAATAAAAATGGAAAGCCAAGTAGGATAAATGACTAATGGAAACGCTTAATAGTTTTGGTAAATCTATTTGTTTTGTTGTTTAGTAGGGTTGAAAAGTAAATACTAAGTTAAGAAGTCTTTTGCTTTGAAAATGAATTATGTGATTCAAATTTGACCATATTCTCTTAACATGAAAAGCTCAACTGCTTCCAAGTATAGTGATCCTAAATCCTAACAATCATTAGTATAGGATAAGATTTGAATTTTGAAGGGTTAATGAGATTTGTAAATATAGAATAGAAAAATATTGGGTTATTTAGCATCTTTATCCATGATGTAAGTTTAAATAGTGAGGATACATTTATCAATCTAGTTTTAACATGAAATGATGTTTGAAGTTAGAAGCACCAAGTCTTCCATAAATTAAATGGTTTGAAATTGACCATAAATAATTATTTCATGGTTCATTGAAATGATCTCTATAGTAGTTTCAAAAGGGATGCCAATGAGGCCCTAAATATGAAGAAGATGACTTTATCAAGCCACTTCTATATCAAAATCTATTATTATAGTTAGGCAGTTAACGATAATTTTCCTTGGTGAAAAAACTAATAGTTTATCAACTCCGTTTTATAAAAAGTGTATAATATACTCTTTCATGTATAGGATTTAGTTGCTTTCTCTTATTGTGTATTTGATGGTGGGGAGCAAGAAAATAAAAGACATGAAAAAAGCAAAAGAAAAGGATAATGGGAAATGCACACTTACCCTTTAAAGGTATTGTCGATTGCATTTTTATTGTTTACTATAGTTGCTTCCAATTGAAAATTAAACCACAAGATATGTATATAATGCTTTTTGGAGCTTATTCATGATAATTTTGTTATTAGGGTTGAACAACTAATTTAGGGTATGTATATAGTGCTTTTGGGATAAGCTTTTGGAATATGTACATATTACTTTTTGGATGTGCACATACTAATTTTTTCTTTTACATTTTGTTTCTTAGTGGGGTTATAGTGGAAGCATTGTTAAATGGAAAGAATTGAATGTTCCACATGGGTTGTTAAACAATTGGGATGAAGACCTTTTTTATCCTTGTAGCTGGGCTATGATCACTTACTCTACTAAAATTTCTTGTTAATGGGATGTTAGTTATCTTTACTTCTCAACACCATTTCTATTTTTTTTCCTAGATTTTCTTCTTATGAAAACATTGTACATTTAGTAAAATGTTTTAGTTGTACTTCATTTTTATGAATTTTTCAGGGGAGCTCCAAGTTAGTCTTTATTAGGAGCTTTGTTTTCAATGATAGGAAATCTCACCAATCTCTACCAAAAGTAAGAAGACAAAATATTTTGTTTTTCTTCTTTGATTTTGTTTTCATATTGTTTTGGTTTCATTTAGAAAAGTCTTTTCTAAGTAAACTTTTAAGTTTCTTGGGATGAATGTTTTGAATTAGTATAATTTCATTTGTCGTTTATGTTTGTTTCTTTGATAATGATATTTTGTTTTCATGATATGAAATCTCACCTAAACTTGGAATTCTTCCAACTTTGTAGACATTAGATCTATCTAACAATTGATTTTTCTAGTGCATTTCTAATGTCATCTAGACAATTAAATAGTTTGCAATACCTATAGGCAATATGATCCAAAGATAATCCACAAAGATGTGAAGCATGCTAATGTTCTTATGGATGATTATTGTGAAGCTGTTATTCATGACTTTTGCCTTACAAAGCTCCTTGATCTACTAATTTCCATGTCACCATTGTTGTTTTGTGGCAATATTAGGTATATTGCATTAGAGTAACTCTAACTGGCTAGTCTTTGAAGAAAACTATGCTTTTGGATTTGGCTTTATTTTGATAAAGAGGAACATTATATAATAAATTGTACATATAATTGTAGTTTTATGTATATAACATTAAGGAACATTGTATAGAGTATTTTAAAGTACCTTATTTGACATTCACTAATTTCATAAGCATGTATGAAAAGTAAAAATTATACAACTGGTTTTGCATACTCTCTTTTATGCTTAATATGATAATAAGTATAGAAATACTTTATCGTATACTAATGATTTGTTGACTCTTTAATCTCTAATTTGAGTTATTTTTGTTTCATTTACTACATTTTGTTAGTTGTGTTTTGATCTTAAAGTTTTAAAAATTAATGATGATCTTACCAAGCTTTTTGCATTGTTGAAAAATAAATAGATTTTACAAATTTTAAAGTGGATTATAAAGTTATAAAAGATGTAGATCAATATATATATACATTAATTTTTTATTTTTAAAATTTTTATGGTCTCAACAAATGCACATATATTTATAATAAAATGTACATATAATTATAGTTTCATGAGTATATTTTTAAGGTACATTGTACATATTGGGTTTGATATAAATATGTGTCTTTTGTTTATTAAGTTAAAAGAGTAAACGTATAATACTTTTTAT